CTCCTCCTCCTCCTCCTCCTCCTCCTCCTCCTTCTTTTCCTCCTCCTCCTCCTCCTCCAGACCACCCCATATCCCAGAGGTGCCCTCCTGGGTGAGGTTTCCCACCCCAAATCCAAGGAATGACCCCCCAGGTGATGTCACCAACCCTGCCAAGGTCCCTCCTCCTCCTCCTCCAGACCATCCCAAATCCCAGGGGTGCCCTCCCAGGAGAGCTTTCCCACCCCTCCAAGGTCTCTCCTCCTCCTCCTCCTCTTCTTCCTCTTCCTCCTCTTCCTCCACCTTCTCCTCCTCCTCATCCTCATCCTCCTCATCCTTCTCCTCCTCATCATCTTCCTTCTCTTCCTCTTCCTCCTCCTCCTTATCCTTCTCCTCCTCCTCCTCCTCTTCCTCCTCCTCCTCCTCCTTCTCTTCCTCATCATCTTCCTTCTTCTCCTCCTCCTCCTCCTCCTCATCCTCCTCCTCCTCCTCCTCCTCCCCCAGCTCGGGGATGTTTTGTGTCCCCTCCCGAGGACCCCCGAGATCCCCCAGCCGGGATCTGCCGCCTCCCACCCCCCAAGGGCGGCTCATCCAGCACTTCCAACCCCATTTTTCCAGCCTCCCTTCCCTCCCTCCCCTTCCCCTGCTCCCAACCTGCTGATCCTCCCTCCTCATCTGCTCCAGGCGCTCCAGGTCCCTCAGGCCCTCCTGGTACTTCTGCTCTGCCCTGAGCGCCCGCTCCTCCGCCCTCTGCTCCATCTGCTTCACGATCTCCTGACGGGCTCTGGGAATTCCGGAAAGCGGGAAAACATTCCCCTCTGGCTCCAGCCCGGAGGGAAGGGAAGGGTCCAGAGGGAAGGGAAGGATCTGGAATGAAGGGGATGATCTGGAGGGAAGGATCTGGAGGGAAGGGAAGGATCCAGAGGGAAGGGAAGGATCCAGGGAGGAGGGAAGGATCTGGAGGGAAGGGAAGGATCTGGAGGGAAAGGAAGGATCTGGAGGGAAGGGAAGGATCCAAAAGGAAGGATCTGGAATGAAAGGAAGGATCCGGGGGAAGAGAAGAATACGGAGGGAAGGGAACGATCTGGAGGGAAGGATCTGGAAGGAAGGGAAAGATCTGGAGGGAAGGGAAGGATCCAGAGGGAAGGGAAGAATACGGAGGGAAGGGAAGGATCCGGGAGGAAGGGAAGGATCCAGGGGGAAGGGAAGGATCCGGAGGGAAGGGAAGGATCTGGAAGGAAGGATATGGAAGGAAGGGAAGGATCCAGAGGGAAGAGAAGGATCCAGAGGGAAGGGAAGGATCCGGAGGGAAGGGAAGGATCCAAAAGGAAGGATCTGGAATGAAAGGAAGGATCTGGAATGAAAGGAAGGATCTGGAAGGAAGGGAAGGATCCGGAGGGAAGGGAAGGATCCAGGGGGTTCCCGGGAGGTTCCAGGGGATCAAGGGGGACATCCCTGAGGGTCCGGGAGCGGGAATTGTGGGCACAGACGGGGCTGGAACAGCTGGGAAAGTTCAGATGCTCCCATGGGATGTGCCCACCTTAGCAGGTCCTCCTTCCTGCGGCGCTCCAGCTCCTCCTGGATCCAGATGCCCTTTTCCTTCTCCATCTCCACCATCCTGTGGACGCGTTTCTCCTCCTCCGCCAGTTCCTCGCGGATGAGCCGCTTCTCCAGGACCTGCTTGTCCCGGATCATGTTGCACTTGGCGTTGAGGAACAGCTGTGGGGACAACGAGGGGCTGTGGGACACTGGGGAGGAGAGGGAAGGTTTGGGAAGGTTTGGGAAGGTTTGGAAAGGTTTGGGAAGGTTTGGGAAGGTTTGGGAAGGGAAGGGAAGGTTTGGGAAGGGAAGGGAAGGGAAGGGAAGGGAAGGGAAGGGAAGGGAAGGGAAGGGAAGGGAAGGGAATGTTTTGGAAGGTTTGGGAAGGCCCCACTCACTCTTGTTTCTCAGCGACACCGACTGCAGGGCCGAGCTGTTCTTCAGCAGCGCCGCCTTCTGCTGCTGTGGGGGGGGGCAGGGGGAGGCATCACCGTCCCCTCCTGTCCCCAAACCCCCCATTCCAGCCCCAGATTCCCCCTGGAGCTGTTCAACCCCCTCCCCAGCTCATGTTCCTCCCACACTCACCTTCTGCTTCACCTTGGTGCAGTTGGGCAGCGTGTCCTTGCAGCGGTTGTGGATGGTGACGTTGCAGGCTGGGGAGGGGGACAGGGGGAGGTGACAGGGACATAGGGGGGTGGCAGGGACACGGGGAGGTGGCAGGGACTGTGACACCCTCCTGCCACCCCCCCCTTCCTCCCCTGAGCCTGCTGGAGTGATGGGAGCAGATGGGGTGGGAATGAGGGAGGATGGGGATGGAAGCGGGAGCTGCCGGGGGACAGCTGGGACATGGGGGGGGGACACTGGGGACACCCTGAGGGGGGACACTGAGCCCACCCTGAAAAAGCCACCCTGGAAAAGTCATCCTGGAAAAGTCATCCTGGAAAAGTCATCCTGGCAAAGCTATTCTGGGAAAGCCACCCCTGAGCCATTCTGGGAAAGTCACCCAAGAAAAGCCACCCTGGAAAAATCACCCTGGAAAAGCCATCCTGGTAAAAATCATTCTGGACAAGCTACCCTGGAAAAGTCATCTTGGAAAAGCCACTCTGGAAAAGCCACCCTGAACCAGCTACCCTGGAAAAGCCACCCTGGAAAAGTCATCCTGGAAAAGCCACCCTGGAAAAGCTATTCTGGCAAATCCACCCTGGAAAAGCCACCCTGGGAAAATCATTCTGGCAAAGACACCCTGGGAAAGCCATCCTGGAAAAGTCATCCTGGGAAAATCACCCTGGAAAAGCCACCCTGGAAAAGTCATCCCGGCAAAGCCATTCTGGACAAGTCACCCTGCTAAAGCCATCCTGGGAAAATCATCCTGGCAAAGACACCCTGGGAAAGCTACTGTGGCAAATCCACCCTGGAAAAGTCATCCTGGACATGCTACCTTGGAAAAGCTACCTTGGAAAAGCCATCCTGGAAAAAAATCATCCTGGGAAAGCCACCCTGGAAAAGCCATCCTGGGAAATCTACTGTGGCAAAGCCATTCTGGAAAAGCCACCCTGGAAAAGTCATCCTGGAAAAATCACCCTGGAAAAGTCACCCTGGAAAAATCACCCTGGAAAAGCCACCCTGGACAACTTATCTTGGAAAAGCCACTCTGGAAAAGCCACTGTGGCAAATCCACCTTGGAAAAGCCACCCTGGAAAAAATCACCCTGGTAAAGCCATTCTGGAAAAAAATCATCCTGGCAAAGCCACCCTGGAAAAATCATCCTGGCAAAGACACCTTGGGAAAGCTACTGTGGCAAATCCACCCTGGAAAAGCCATCCTGGAAAAGCTATTGTGGCAAATCCATCCTGGAAAAGCCATCCTGGAAAAAAAAATCATCCTGGAGAAGCTGCAGTGACAAATCCACCCCGGCAATTCCATTCTGGCACATCCACCTCCAGCAGATCCACCCTGGCAGAGTCATCCCGGGATCTCCACTGCGGCAAAGCCCAGCTGGAAAAACCACCCCAGCAAAATTCCGGCCCGGAAAAGCCGCCCCGGAAAGAGCCACTGCGGCAAATCCACCCTGGGAAAGGCAGCCCTGGAAAAACCATTCCAGCCTGGGAAAGGCAGCTCTGGAAAAGCCATTCCAGCCCTGGAAAAAGCCATTCCAGCCTGGGAAAGGCAGCCCTGGAAAAACCATTCCAGCCTGGGAAAAGCCATTCCAGACTGGGAAAGGCAGCCGAGGAAAAACCATTCCAGCCCTGGAAAAACCATTCCAGCCTGGGAAAGG